TTTCATGTAGTAGAGGTGTACGTACCTGCCACTCTTGAAGTGTATTAATTGCATTCATTTGGAAGTCTGAAGCGGATGTATTAATAGGCTGTTAAGAAACAAGGATTTGTCATTACCCTCCTTTTTTGAATGTTTTAGTTTTGGAGGCTACAGTTCCCTCCATAGTCGTATATAGATAAATAGTGCAATTGTACAAAGGTTTTGTCGATTAAAATTTAGTTAGTATTCCTTATTAATTCTTTTGAGGCTTTGAATACAACGGATGGAGTGAATAAGATTATAAGTTTACAACAGTACTTAATTTGCTTTCACTGTTTACACACAAAGGGCAAAATGAACTTCTCTTTACACTTTTGAATCTACTCTTAAAACCTGTGCCATTTTTACATGGGAACATCAATTTGGGATGGATGGAGTAAATCGTTTGTAACAAAAGTCGTCAAGCTTCACAATACAACAACATTTTAAGTAGATTAAATACTGGGATTGAAATCATTTAACCAAAGGGGTGGAAGAATCAGTTAAATACAATCCAACCAAAGCAATCAAATGACCTCATCATCCACCAACCCGCAACCATATTCATATATAACTTTGTCTCCCCTATGAACAAGTCATACACTATTGCAAACTACCAGCTATTATACTTGAGTGTTCTTACAAAATTCACACTACACTGAATATTTGGCTGTGTGTATCATTTCTTATATGGCTAATAATAGTGATATCTCACCATTTTAAGCAATGATTGACAATTTCTAAGCAAGGGATGAAATGGACCTCATAGACTAAATCATTTTAAAATTCTCTATATGTATGTGAAAGAACTCTCGGGGTGAACATAAGTAAACCTAGTGAACTTGAGTAAACCTATGTTTTGTAAAAATTGGATGAACGAAGTAGAGCCCATGTACAGAATGATGCTTGGATGATTATTAGGTTAACCTATGTGAATGTGATAAAATGCTATTTGGCTGGAGATTCTCCAAGAATTACTTACAGCCAGAGTTGTCCAAATTTAGTTTTAGGATGGACCAATGGATAACTAAACTCTTACCATAGTCTGTGGAAGTCGGATTTTTCAGAAATCGAGTTTTAGAGTTTTAGGATGTTATTGGAAAACCTAGATTCGTGTCATTAAAATACTTCTCAGCGGATGTGAACCCCAAATTAAAACTAGATGAATGGATTTAGTTCAAACAGATCCTAATATATGACTCAAAAGCAATTCCCATCAGTCAGCATATAACAAAATACAGTGTGATCTGAATGGCTTTAGTTCAATCTTCATTTTACACAAAGTCCCACTGAGTAATGCTTCATTCATCAATGGCCATAAGGAGCAGCGTTTATGAAAACTCAGAAACCAAGATTACAATTATCAAAGCAAAAACCACAAAAAAATAACCAAGAAACCAAATAACCCCTTGAATTCAACATAAATTGAACCGCAACTGTCAAACCAAACAAATTAATAATAAAATCAAATATCACTGAAGAATTTGTGAAGCAAAATGAAACGCAGAGCTGACCAAGAGTGGCGGGGGTGTCATAAAACACAGTGGAGGCCTGGACAACGGTGGCGCGGACGGTGGAGGAATCACCAGCCATGTCCACTTCGGCGAAGAGAGGTTCCTCGTTCACCGGTTGTGAAACCAGAGCCATTTCCCTTAGCTCTTGATAGTGATGATGATCTCGCTTCCTGTTTGGAGAACTGCTGAGTACGGAGTGAGCTGCTATATCTGCTGTGAGTGTTCGAGTCTATGACTGCACAGTTCAGTGGGAGGGGTAATTGCCAATAATCAGAAGTAAACTGATTTTGGCCCTGTTTCAGCTAGATGAGTTAGTTTTTTGAAAAGGCTATCCGACTGTATCTTTTAGCATTAGCATTTTCAGAATTAATCTACACCATTAAAATTTTATCCAAAACACTAACGCTAATCGAAAACGATGTTCCCAAACAAGGCCTTTATCAAGTTGGGCAGAAAAAAGATTGGAATTTATGAGGATGGAGGTTTTCTATTGCGGGTGCTTATTGGTCCTTGATAAGGTTAGAGTAATACGGAATCACCAACGAAATGCAAATACTCATAAAATGCACACAAATTTAACATTTATATATTTTAGTCTTTTTTTTTAAGAGTAAATTTCCAAAATAGTCCTTTGTAATAAGGTATTTTCCCAAATCAGTTCTCAATAAATTTTAATTACCTATGTGGTCCTCTATAATTGAGATTTATTCCCAAGATGATCCTTCGTAAATAATGTTATTCAAATGAGGATTAATTGAGAGTATTTTGGTATTTTTTTTATCCGCGAAATTTTGAATTAATTCTCATAATGATCATTTATAATGATGTGCTATCCCAAAATGGTTTTCTAATTAAAGATGTGTATTTTATTTGAAATTTAAAAGATTTTTTATAAGTTTTAAATAATTCATGAATTATTTATAGTCAATATATTTTTTAAATTTTACATTTAGTTGTACAGAAATGACTGTTTCAAAAATATACTTTAAATTTGGATAGTCAAAATACCAAAATATCTCCCAATTAATCATCATTTGAGTAACATTATTTACGAAAGACTATCTTGGAAATAAATCTCAATTATAAAGGACTATGTAGGTAATTAAAACTTATTTAAGACTTAATTGGGAAAACACCTTATTACAAAGGACCATTTTGGGAATTTACTCTTTTTTTTAATTATGTAAGACTATTATTTGAATCGTTACTTTACATATTTGGCAAGTTTTTGAATTTTGTGAATGTTTTGTTTGTGCCTCTAGCATTACATGATGATAAATTATTTGAGAATATTCATAAATGGTGAGAGATAGTTTTGTAAATAATTTGATCAAAATGAAGAAACGAAAAACTGATTTAAAAATAAGTAAGTAAAACGACCTACTTTTTTTATAGCTTATAAATACAGATAAATATGTCATCAACTGACTTATAAGTTAAGAACAACTTATAAACAGTTTAGACCAACTTATAAGCACAGAGGAATTAACCACAACCCATTATCCGACAAAAAGATCATTCGAATCGATTAAAAAAAAGGTTTAAATGATAATGTTTGGGGCCGATATTTAGATGTCAAAACGACGTCGTATTTCGTTAAGTCATCGTTGAAGAGAAGTTCAGATTTGAGGATCCAAATGACATCGTGTGTCAAATCCTTTCTTTCTTAACCCTCGAGACCTACTTCTAAAAATTTGAAAAACCATTTCCACCGCTTTAGTTTTGATTGTGATTACGAAACCACGGTCTTTGGTTTTGGTTAAAAATCAAAAGCTTTCTACCCCCAATATATCATACTTCCCTCGTTCTTAAATAGGCTAGGTTTTGCATTGAAGTAAAAAATGTTGGAATTTTTAGTTTAAACTGGACATTTTTCGGACATAAATTCGGTAGGGTCCACAAAATTATTTTCTGAAATAATTATGGACAATTAATCTCGTAAGTGAGATGAGTGTTTCGACATATTATACGCCAAAAATGGTGCTCGGGTGAATGAGAAATTAATTCACGAAGTCGAACACGTGAAAAGAGTAAAACCCTTGTCCCACACCGAAACTTGAACCTTTCGTATTCTCATATTTAAACTTAGGCATTTAATTGAATTTATGAAGGGAACAAGAAAGGACCCCTCGCGCGCCGCCGCTACCGTGTGGCTGGCGCGGCTCGGCTCGGCTTAGCACGACCCGCGCGTGCGCGTCGGGCAGGGCGGGGCGTGGCTATCTTTTTACAACACCGAATTGAACACACGTGAACACTTCCTGATTAACGAAGTGTTGTCGTCCAAAGAGAATGCATGCAACTCGTTGAGACCGAAGAGTCACTCGCGACTCTTCGATATATCCGTCCAGTCTACCCGAAGAGCCAAACTACCTCCTATTTAAGGAGAGTTTGGTTGAGAGACACATTGAGCTCTCAGATAAACGAAGTACTTTCCGACTCTCTCCCTATTTCCGATCATCTTCTTCAGCGATAATTTTCTGTCATTCTCGTTCGCTGGTGCACGGTTCTACCGCTCTAGACCTTGCACGTTGTGGTTTTATCTTGAGAGGAGATTGACCATGTTTGCCAGTGCGGGAGGCGGGCAATACTACCTTAAGGAAAGCTCCGGCGACTCCGCTTTCCTAACTTCTCGTTTGAGGTACTGTTCTGGCCCGCCCCTACTATTCGTCCAATGTCTCTGCTCGCCCATCAAGGCTCCTGTTCTATTCGAGCTCTGCCCCAGTATCGTTCGAGCTCCCCGAAGATTTTTACTTTCTTTATTTAATTTATTGTAAATCCAAACGTGTTATAAGTTCGGATATTTTTTTTCTTTTCGCAATCCTTTGTAATCCCAACATTCTTAAGGTAGTATTATGGGGTTCGGATTCGGCATCATGAGTTCCTCCGGCAACAGAATGAGTTCCGAAGCACCGGTGGGAAATTCATCGGTCGCCATGGTTGTGCCTTCCTCACTGCTACCCTTCAGGTCAAGTGTGGGGGCCGCCACCATGACTTCCTTCTCGATGCCGAGCTCGATCTTTGGGTCGGCTCCTTGACTCATTCCCGGGCTCGAAACCACGGGGGGTTACTCCGTTGGTAATACGAACTCATTTCTTGGACCGACTTTGGCTTCAGCCACAACGGTCAACATGGGACCGAATGCGGGATTCAACGCACCGGTTAGTCCGTTCGTCGGACCTCATTGGGCTTCGAGTGGACCTTTCCTTCATACGCCCAATGCGGTCGGACCGATATCAGTGCCCGCAAGCACGGTCTAGAGGCCACCGAAGTTCAATGGCACGAACTTCAAGATGTGGCAACAAAAGATGATGTTCTTTTTTACTGTCATGGGACGTGATGGAATAAATCAAAATTTCACCATTTTTTGGCTTTGGGGCGTGATGGAATAAATCAAAATGG